CCCGCGGCTCGGCCCGCCCGGGAGGCCCCTCGCGCAGACGCCAGCTGCACGCACTTCCCTGGCCGCCCCCCTGGGTAGGGGTGCACAGTGGCTCCAGACGCCCACGAGAGCCCCTTCCCTGTGGCCAGAAGGGGTTGGCAGTGCCACCTCAGGGCCCTGCCGGGTGCGATGCTGCCTCAGCTTCAGCGAGGCCTGCACTAGGCGCCCTGAAACCACAGCCTCTGCATCCCCAGAGCACAGGCCCTGCTCCCATCACCTCTGGTCACCAGGGCCCAGCTGTGGAAACACGAAAGTCCCTGCCGGCCTCTCCTCCTGGACCTTATGCTCAGGCATGTCCCCTCCCCTGCTCTCATATGGGACCCCCCCCAGGAGAGGGGGCGCCCTCGTGCCCAGCATTTCCCACCATAGACAAAGCGCAAACGCCGACCAGCCCAGGAGCTGGGGTGCTGCAGGAGCTGGCACAGGCAGGCGTGGGGTACAGGCGGCCCATCCCTCAGGGGTGCCAGGACTGAGTTGAGAACTGAGGCAGAGCTGCCAACTGCAGACCACAGCCAGCAGGACCGACCTGGCCCCACAGCTGGAACCCAGGTGAGCCCGGGTCCCCAAAGGCTAGGTTCATGTGTGAGGCGAACGTGATGACCCCGCACTATGGAAACTGGGCTCATGTGGAGTTGGGTGCACCTCCCCGACACCAGCCTGTGAGCACCCAGACTTCTCCAGCCTCTCTACGGTGACCACAGAGCATGGCGTCAAACCCAGGTGCATCTCCCTCCCACACCGCTGGGGCCTCATACACAGGAACACCTGTGGCGGCACCCTCTCCCTCCTTGGGGCTGAGACCACCCCCTGCGCACCCTGGGCCCTGGCAAAGGCTCGGCCCAGTGCCTGAGGGTCCCCAGCGGCTGCGACACATGGCTCCATCACTGTGCCCAGACGCAAACACCCATGGCCTCCCGCACGGCACCACAGCCCCCAGCCACCTGGGAGTCGGGAGGCTCATCCTCGAGGCTAAGGGTGCCTGGACCAGCGAGCCCTTGTGTCAGACTCAGACGCTGGGGAAGGAGGGAGCCCTCCCAGGGCCCTGGTCCAGCTGCTCCTCTCAGCAGGAGGCCAGAAACCAGTGAAGTCCAAGTGCAGGGCCCCCCTCAGAGCTGCCAGCAGGTGGGCAGGGGGAGAGGTGGACTCAGTCTTAGGGGCAGGCTGGGGACTCTCAGCAGTGTCTGCTCCCCAGGAAATGTCACAGCATTGACACATGTAAGTACGCTTTATTCAATTTGGTTGTAGACAAGGATATCGTATAAAGGAGTAGGGGCCTGGGGCCTGGGGCTCAGGGTAGACGGTGGGGCCTCGGTTCACTCGCCACGACCACTGACTAGTGCTTCATGTTCTCTAACATCATCTTCAAGATGTGCAGGGACTTGATCACCAGAAAAATGGATCCAATGATGACAATGATGCCCACGACCAGGGCACAGATGTTGAGGCACTTGGCGGTGGAAGCGTAGCTCTGGGCCCCGATCACGTCGCCCACCATCTTCCGGTCCCTAGACTGGGGGAGAAGAGATGGTGAGGGGCCTGGAGGGGTCCCGCGTGACTCAGGTCCTCCGATGGATGGTCCCTGCCCCTCCCTGTTCCCTGGAGCCTGAGCAGGACTGTGCACTGAGGGCCCCCTACTCCTGGAGCCGGAAGCTCCTTCCTCTCAGACTCTCTGCCTCTCCAAGGGGTCGCGGGGCTGATCTTCTCCGAGCCCTGGTCCCTCTGCTGCTCTGCTGGCGGCTCAGGGTTTTCTGGGTCCCTTTGTCTTTCTGAGAGAGCCTTGGAGCCACACAGTGAGTCTGATGGATGTAATTTCTGGTATGGACGGTAGGGAGATCCTTGGAGTCCCGGGGACAGAGGTTGACCCTGGCCATCCCCAAGCACCCCATGCGGCCTCACGGTGACCTGCACACGCACAGGCGCCACACACACACGTGCGCACACACACACGCACCTGCAACACACACACACGCACATGCGACACACACACACGCACAGGCGCCACACACACACACACACGCAGGCGCACACACACACACACACACACACACACACGAGCGCTGTCTGGGCCGGGGACCTCTGCGGGCCACTCGCCCTTTCCGGAGAAGCCGCCGCGCGCCCACCCACCTTCACGGAGTAGGCGAACGCCACGAAGCCCAGGCAGCAGGGGTTAAAGAAGAGGGTGTTGAACAGGGACCAGACGACGTGGTCGGGCACGACGGTCTCGCTGCGGATGTTGACCACGGTGGACGTCACGGCCCCCGAGGTCTGGGGCGCCCCCAGAATGGCGACCTCGTGCTCCTCGTTGATCATCTCCAGCTTTGGGGGAACAGGGGATCCCAGGAGAAGGCAAAGTGGGTTTCTGCAGGCAGGCGACGCTGAGCAGTGCGGGCTGATGCCTGGACGGTGCTCAGGGCCCCTCCCCGTCGGGGTTAGTTTTGATTTCTCAGAACTTTCTGTTTCCTGGTGTTTTGAAAATTGGCAATTTGGCTGGGGACTAGGCCTGTGCAAGAAACCAATGAGCGTCAAGTTACATGGGGGGAGGGGCTGTGGTCTAAGGGTGCGTTTCCTGTCCCCATAGCTCAAATCTGCTCTCTCCTCACTGAGGGTGTGGGGGGCCCTGGGGACAGTGCCCCAGCGAAAGTGGAGAGTCGGCCCTCCCTCTCCCCAGCCCAGGCCCCACCTGTGAGGGGCCTGCCAGTCTCCCGCCGCTGCACACTCTGGCCCAGGGGAAGCCCCGGCCCAGGGTTCCACTGGAATTCCTCTGATTTCTGCTGTTTCATACTTTGCAGAGTCTGGACATGTTGACTTTGATCGTTTTTGCTAGTTTATTCGCTGCTTTTGTGTGGGGAGGGGCTTTTGGGATTCCCTTCCCCACCGTTTTTCTCAGTGGTAATCATGGCACACACGCTCCTGGTAGCGGAAAGGTCGAGTCCCACGCTCCCACGCCAGCTGTTCCCCATCCGGACAAGCGCGGGGGCCGTGTGGGTGATGACACTTCAAAATTGACAGCTGAGACTTGTGCGTATCAGTGTAAGTAAACGCCAGCTGAAAGTGTGAAAACCAAATGGAAGGAAAGAATGACCAAAAAATGACAGGTGACAAAAAAGCAGAAAGCGATCATCTGCGCGAGGGCACGTGGCGCCTCACTCTCAGTCCAGCAAGCACGTCCTCTCCCTGGCTGCTGTGGGGACCGGCGTAGGGCGGGGCACGTCCCCATGGGCAGTGGCTGGCCTTCTGGGCAGGCCAGCCAGGCGGAGGTGGCTGGAATGGCTCCCTTCCACCAGTCCTGGCCTGGCAGAGACCAGAATGACATCCGGTCCCGGGAACGCAACAGAAATTAGCGCCACCCCCACAGCCTAGCAGGCGAGGTGTGCTGGCCCCGCCAAACCTCTGTGACTTCGCCCCGGCAGGCAGATGCACCTGGCCTTGGGGTCTGCCAAAGGCACCCAGGTCTGCCAAAGGCCATCCTTCCTATCTCTAAAGATGGACACAGGCCACCAGGTGGCCTGGGAGCAGAACCGCCCACCATGGCAGGTTCGGTCAGACCCACCAGGTCAGAGCTTTGGGTGGGCCCAAGCAGCAATGCATTCGAGACGGGGGTGGAACGTTCCAGATCAAACATGCAGGTTGTCCCGTCCCTGTGTCAACGCCATGGCTTCCCAGAGCCTGTCCCTCTGCTCGTGCTGGGCTGAAGGGGAATGCACCTGTCCCCACCTGACCCGGCGCCAGCCCCTCCCTCTCTGGGGGAGTTTTGATTTCTCGGAAGTTCTCCTCACTGGCTTTTGTAAGCTGGTGAAGTGGTGTGTAGGAGGAGCGTTGAACAAGTGCATGAGTGCCTGAAAACACACGGGCCCCGTCCTCGTCCTCGGGCGGGACGCCACGCGGCCGCGCTCACGGCCCTGCCCACGGCCTCGCCTGGTTCCTGCCAGGTCTGGGGAAAGCGGCTGAGCTAATCATTAATCAGATTATGGATGCATTGACTCTTTGTCTTATTTTCAATTTTAACTTTTAATTTTTTGCACGGAAGAGGTTGTCTCAAGTGGGCCTGTGGCCAGCAGCATCACCACCAGCTGGGATCTTGTCACAGCTCCTGGGTCCCCGCCTCAGACCCAGCAACCTGAACCTCCAGCCGGAGCCCAGACGTCTGTCATAAGGCGTCTTCCAGGTGATTCCGAGGCTCATGTTTGAAAAGCACGGGCAGGAACAGCCGCAGGACACTCGTGCACAGACGCGTCACAGCTGGGTCGCAGTGGATGCGACGGCCGTGGAGTCCGGGCCGAGTCCGCGCTGTGCGGCCCGTGACGCGTCGCCGCAGCGGCTCTGGGTATCCAGCCCGGCAGGCGCAGCTCTGAGCAAGGCCGTGGCCCTGCGCTCAGAACCCACGGGTGAGCGTCGCAGACGCCGGGCCATGCAGCTCTCTGGAGCCACCCGCCAGGTGCCGGGGGAGCCCTGGCCGCGGCCGCCAACTCGTGGGTCCCATCAACTTCCAGCGTCTTCTGAGCTCGGCCCTGTGTTCACAGCGAGCAGGGGGCTGGGGTGCTGTCGCCCCTCGGGACCAGGGCTGCTGGAACCACGGTCCCTCCTTCCCCAGAGCCCAGAGCTCGGCCCTGTGGTTCACAGGCCTGAGAACGTCCTTCACTCCTTGGTAAACCAGGCCCAGGGGCGGCGGCATAAGAGGAAGGGAGGGTATGGCGACACAAGGAGGCTTCTTCGACACAGACGGGGAGGGCCTGGCTCCAGCCGAAAGCCGAGCCTGCCTGTCGGGCTCACTCACCTGCACCCCAGCCTGCACGTGAGCTCACATGGTGAGGGCCTGAAACGGTGACTCCACGCAGTAAACAGGGTCGCTGGAGACCGTGTCCCGCTGTAGCTCAGAGCTCCATGTGTCCTGAGCATCTGCATCTCCCAGTGTGAGCCTATCGCTCCCACACTGCCCTCTGCTCCCACAGCCACCCTGGCCCCTCCCTAGGACTAAGAGATCCTCAAGGCAGGGACTGGACAGGCCCGCCTCTGCCCTCCACATCCCCTGACGTCCGTGGGAGGGCGTGATGGCCACCGGAACACAGGCATGTGCACACCCGCCCTTCGTCCTTGGTGGTCGGCAGCCTCGCTCCGGTGCGTCTCCACGTGGGTCTGTTAGTTGCCTCGGCGACCCTCCTTGCCCGAGACTCACGTCTGTGAATGTCTCGTGATCACTGCCCATTCCCCTCCCCTCAACAGTGGGTGCTCCCCCCAGATCCCTCCCGGGTCCCTCTTGGGAATTCTTCCGCAGGTGGAGCAGCTCTGCCCGGGGGCTCCATGCCCAGGGCCACCCTAACCAGCCCCAGCTCGACGGGCTCGAGGTGGCTGCCACACTCCAAGCCCCGGTGGGACCTGGTGCTATGCCCAGGGTCCTGCCCTTGCCTGCGGTAACTAACAAAGAAAGGCCTTCCAGTGTGACAGGAAACAGCATTGATTTGAGATCAACAAGAATCGCTATTCGGGACACGCCAATTCAGGCAGAAGCCCAAATAGTATCCCGATGAGGAGACACAGGCAGGGGGCATTTCTGAGAAGGGGGGACAGTGACCTCAGTAGAAGGAAGGCAGTTCCGATGGTACAGATGCCACGGCATAGGGACACTGGTTCCAAATGCCGGATCCCAGTGGAGGCCCGCAGCCTCCACGTCCAGAAACCGTCTGCCACGTGGACTGCGCTTTGCTTTTGACCAGCAGGACCCCACGGCTGACCTCACGTGGGCGAACGTGGCATTACATGCAAAGGAGAGGGTGACAGGAAGACTCGCCATCGGCTGGCGACTGGGACTGTCCTTGGGAGCTCCCGCTGCCTTCTACAGGACAGTGAGGGGGGAGGAGACACCCACATCTCGCTTTTCCTAGCTCCTGGAGGGTCACCCGCCCGATGGAAACGTCTCCTCAGACGGGAGCCGTCACCACACAGTGGCCTCTGCAGCTTCCTGGTCGAGCTCCAAGCAGAGGCCGGCTGCTCCGTCTGCCTGGATTCCTGAGAGGCTCAGTGACCGCTGAGGGTGGGCACGGCCTCTGTCACCCCTGCACCCACTGGTGCTGGGAAGAGCTACAGGGTGTCTTCCCCTGTCCTGTCTGCCTCACCGCAGCCCCAAGAGGAAGTTAAGAGGGTGCACGACCGTGTCACCCTGGTGGTGTGAAGCAACATCCTACAAACAGCACACGAGAGAAAATGGCAGAAACCTCTGCGTGGGAAGCACAATGAGGTTCTGACCCTGTTCTGTGAGGGCCTGGAGCAGCCTGTACAGGGCCACCCCCGACCACCAGGACCAGCCCCTGACACCCAGCGAGGAAGCCACGGCTGGTCACAGGCGGAAGCTCCAAAGCTACACAGAACCCCTGAGGGAGTGAGGAGGAAGATGGAGGTTGGAAGAGAGAATCACACTACAAATTCAAAGAACGTCAGTGTTCCTCGGAGTAGAACAAGATGAAATTAATGCCATCCTCCTTACGGAAGAGATGGGTGCTGAAGAAAAACTAACTGAAAATAGAAGACAAATTTTAAACTGTATGTCCACACTAAACAATCTCTTCAGTGAAACAGCAGAGATGTGTTGGCAGACAGGCCTAGGTGTCCTTACAGGAATTAAAAGCGTCCACAACAGGTACGAACACCCGGAGACCCCAGCAGTCTTTTCGTGTGAATTAAAGAAGAGATTTGCATCTCCCTCCGCCCCGCCCCGCG